GAACCTCAGGACCCACGAAACCAGGTTATCAACCTGGTGCTCCTGATGGATCTGGTATCACGAAAGTTCCTTACCAACCTGGACCATTTGGAACCTCAGGACCCACGAAACCAGGTTATCAACCTGGTGCTCCTGATGGATCTGGTCCCACGAAAGTTCCTTACCAACCTGGACCATTTGGAGCAGGTACCACGAAAGCTCCTTACCAACCTGGACCATTTGGAGCAGGGACCACGAAACCAAGTTATCAACCTGGTCCTCATGATGGACCAGGCGCAGCAACGCCGAGCTACCAACCTGGACCTTACGGAAGTGCTCCGACCGACAAGCCATCGTACCAAAACCCATTCCTTAGGCCAGGCGCAACACCGAATGGACCGCAGCCTGGAGCTGCAGGAAACACCGGTCCCGCAGGAACGTCGAGTCCCGCAAACCAGGGTCCTACCAGTGGATCAGGCGGCTGTTCCAGTCAAAGTTGCGGAGGCGGAAGCGGCTGTTCCAGTCAAAGTTGCGGAGGCGGAAGCGGAAGCGGCTGCGGTCGATCCCCGGATCACAAACCTTGCGATGGCGACAACGGATGCGGTGGATCCTCCGGCCACTCGCCTTGCAGCGGAGGAAGCCCTCCACCCGGAATTCAGAAGGTTCTTCCTGTCGACCTCTCTCAGATTCCCCAGTCTCCCCAGGGTAGCTTCCCCACGGGAAGCGGCGCTGCTCCTGGAAGTGGAAACAATGGTCCTGGATGCGCGTACGGCCAACCTGGCTGCCAACCTGGATCCCCAGGGACCGCGGGACACGCTGCGCCTGGATCTTACCCGAGCAATCCTTTCTTGAACGGAATGGTGCCAATTCCTGTCTCTTCAGCAGGTGATTCTTCATTGTTCAACTGTTAACGTTGATTGCCGCATGATTTTGCTGAGAGAAATATAGAAAGTGAAGATAGTGTAACATCAACTTATGCTATTGAATTACGTTGTTGTTATTGCAAGTTTGAATTGTCGAATGTCAGTGCATTAAGTTGGATTATAACATTAGTTGTATAAAATGAAATCTCATTGGAATTTTTGATTTCATATGCAGATATGTCAACCGTCAATGAATTCCGCGAACGTCCTAGTTCATTCAAACTATTTTCAAGCGAACTGAACTGAACAAATTCATCTAACACAAAGTACAACAAACACAAAGTTCCAAACTAATCAATATCACACTCGTCTATAATAGATCCTAAAGTACCGACATTCTTCACCAAGAAAAAAGGCTCAAACACAAAGTTCCAAACTAACTAATGTTACACTTGTCTATAAAAAATCCTAAAGTACCGACATTCTTCACCAAGAAAAAAGGCTCACAGCATACTACCTAAAACCTAAACTTCCCAAAACAAGCTAAAATTCTACTCACCTTCAATTCACAGGTTCACCGCAGCCAGCCCCGAGCAAGCCAATAGGCCTTGGCAACCCCTTCCTCAGCGGCTCGTCAGCGCCCGTCCCAGCCGGCGGCGCGAATTCGTTCGCAGGAGCAGGAACATGGCCGTCCGGAGGTTCCGGAAGTCCCTTCCCAGGCAGCGGAGGAATCAACAAGAATAACCCGTTCCTTGGATCAGGAGCAGGAGCTCCAGGCGGAGTAGCACACGTTCCCACTGGATCCTCACCTGACAGCGACAGCCAGATCCCACTGTCACCAGACGCAAGTCAGTCACACATCTCACCAGGATTCGGCGCAGGATCCTTAGGCTCGAGTCCTTTCGGCGCTTACCCGAACTCGCTTGCGAGCGGGCCAGACGACAGCCAGAAGCATCTTCCAAGTAATCACGGCTCCGGAAGCGGAGGAGGCGTCGGCCTCGGTGCGGACGGAAATTCTGGACACGCGGCAGGATTCTCCGGCGCGTTCTCCGGCGCGTTCGGCGGAGCGCAAGCCGGCAGCTTCGCGAGCTCCAGCGCTGGTTCCTTCGCCGGAGCAGGTGCGTGTTCCTTTTGGTCGTGGAAGATTCGAGAGTGAGCTGGAACGGTAACGGATGGTAACGTTCCGCTCGAAGGCATTGGGATTGTTAGGAGACTGAAGAGAGTTCGCACGGCGCGGAGCAGATGAGATAATTAGCGGCAATCGTTGATCCCGCTTCCGGCGCTTATTAACGCGTTGCGCAATCGGGAATTAGCGAGATGGTTCTTTTGTGATGGAGTAATGAATGTTAACCCTTTGTCCGAAGTGCTCTTGGTTTTTTTTGAGGTTCACGTCGATTTTAGTTTCGATTATAGCTTAATCCTTAGTCTAGATGGTTTTGTGATCTGTCAGCAATTGCAACTAATTTTTATAGTACCTCCTATGAAAATGGAAAGTGATATAATATTCGTTCAATCTTTCCTTTCCATTCTCAGTACAAAATTTGGATGTGTGGAAAATCGAATAATTTTAGGGTAGTTTCTTTGATTCATTAAAATATTCGATATTGCAGCTGGTGCAATATCGGAGCCTACAGAGTACAAAGGGTTAATGTGACGCTCTGTTTATTTATTCGAGAATATTTGGGAGTCATTGAAATGTTACCTTTAACACTAAAACCAGCAGTTCAATTGACTTTTGGAAATTTCGCTATAGAAACTCCAAGAGTGCATCTGTTCGGACTTTTTTTTCCATTTTGTAGATTTTGCTTGAAATCGTACTATCGATCACTTAAAACTAGAACTACCGAGCATTTAATACGATTAATATGCAATTCCCATAAAAATTGTAACAATAGATTATTTTCAGTTCCTTCAGGCATTCAATATACTCAAATGAAACTATTTTCAAAATCATTTCGGATATTCGATGCTTCGAAGATATCAATTGCTAAACTAAAAAATCGAAGCCAGTAATTTTGACGGTAGTTCTAGTGTTAGTTTTACTGTGTCAAGTGATGACTGAGAGTTACCTGTCGAGCGTAGATTAATAGTCACGCGATAATTGGGGAAGAGTAATTGGAATGCCTGCCGACGTTACCGCTTCTGTCTGTCTTGAATCTGTTGAATTGATGATAATTTGAAAGGTAACAGGAAAGATACGAGCTGATTTCGTAACTCGGTTTCAGGTCCACAAGCTGATTTCGGCCATGCGAACGGCGCAGGTTGGGGCGGCGCCGGAAGCCTCGCCGGAGGCGGTCCCTGGGCCTCGAGCGGTGCGTCCGCTTTCGCGAGCAGCAGCGCTACCAGTAGGTTTCACGGAATTCGCAAATCATGAGGGAATCCGTTCCGAAATTCAGGAATGTTTGTAAATAGCAACGACGCGATATTGTTCTATCAATTGTCGATCGCTGGATTTGAAGTTAACCCGTCGTGGACGAGGATTCGTTGAAGTATCCAGAGGAAGTTCAATTCTACGTGGAAGGCTTAACCAGTTAAATAAATATGAAATATGAAAACTTAATACACTCGCGATCAGCAGAAATTTTAATGAGCAAAAATAGAAGAAATGCAGATGTACGAGGGTTAAAGTGCACGATAGTTTCAAAGAATGAAGGCTATATAGAATTGAATTCATGACAATGTGGCTAAATTTCAATGTTATAGCATTCATGTCATTTTGCATCACAATGAAAATCAGTGCTACTGATGATGATCATGAACTGACGGTATTCGTCCTGGAAGGGTTAATTTAAAGTCGCCTTTGACCTCTTGTTAGAGTCGACCTCTTGCCGAACAAACCGATTGCTCGTTCACAACTTCGTACTCGAACTATAAAGCTCGATGTTAAAATGACGATACTCGTCTTGGGTTAAGGGTCAATTTAACCCTTTGCACTTGGAAGTTGACTCAGTCATCATACAATTTGATACACCAGAATCATAAAGTCTCACATATAATACTAAGCTTCTTACAATCCACGAATACGTGAAGTGTTGAAATAACTTTGTTTAACTTCTGAATATTCCCTCATTCAATTTATTTTAACACTAGAACTGCCGAGCATTTAATACGATTAATACGTAATCCCTCTAAAAATTGTAATAATTGATTATCATCAATTTCTTCAGACATTCATTATACTATTCAAGTGAAACTATTTACTAGCAAGATCATTTCGAACATTCAATGCTTTTAAGATATCAATAATCACGAAGTGACGTTGAAACCATTTTGACTGGTAGTTCCAGTGTTAAAGAATCCCGTCTACAACTCACTGGAAACTGAATATTTCCAGTGAAAGGCTTCCGAGTGCAAAGGGTCAAAGCCTTCGACCTTCAAAGGAATAGTATCAATGCCAATTACGATTGAACGCTTAATAACCCATGATCGTGGTTTCAGGTTGGTCTGGCGCCGCGCCCCATCACGTGAAAGGATAATGGACGCCGCGGATGGCAACGAGGAGGAGCCAACGTCGGGGCGGACCAATGGCGAAAAAGGACAAAAGCGAACCGTGTCGTTTCACCCGTAATTTATTCGATATTCCCCTTACTCGCGATACGATCTCCAATTAAAGACAAAAGGAAAATATGCAACGTTATTTTATTTCATCCAGGTGACCCGTCGACGATTAGCAATTGAATTAATGCCGATTCGCGGAAGAGATTGTGCTATTATTACGCCGCGGAGATTACGATCACCGCCGGCCGATCCTCGACGGATAATGAACAATGACATAAGCGATGAATCCGCCTCGTGCCAGACCCATCCGATGATCCCTCCGGCTTTTTGTAATCGAAGAAACGGAACGGGTTATGTGCGCAAGCTTAATCGTTTCTCGTTACCTATCGTTCGAGGAACCGGTACCGGATCTCCGACGATCCGTTCTTGAGACTCGGTCGGGATCTTCGGGAAGAGGATCATCGTCACGAGAACAATCGGCGTTAACCCTTTGTCCTACAATCTGTCAGCCTCGTAGTGACGATTCCAAATAGAATTTAATAGACATAAATATTATTCAATTTGTTCGAATGCAAACTATATATTGTTCCTCTGTTATCAGTGATTGTATCTTAGAGCACACGTCGCCATGGAGTATGTCCGGAATTTTCTCTTATTTTAAATTATTAATGACAAAGTAGTCAGATCGGTCGCTGTTTGGAAAGGAATCATAGGGCAAGGGGTTAACGATTAATTCGGTTATTGAATACTCTTAATTCTTAGCATTCCAGATGGTTTCGTAACGTGTCAGCAACTACCAATTTTGGTAATCATACTGAAAATTAACAATGTTACAACATTTCTTAGATTAATTCCCTTCTCAGTACAAACTTTGTATATCTGGAAGATCTAACAATCTTAAGATAGTTTTTATAAAATTCATTGAAATATTTAATAGTAGAACTGGTGCAATATTGGAGACTACAGAGGTCAAAGGGTTAGATTCATGGCAATGTGGCTTTTAAATTTCAATGCTATAACATTCCTTGGATCTGTTAATAAAAGTCTAATAATTAACAACAGAAAATCTAATAATTTTAGGGTAGTTTCTTTGATTCATTGAAATATTTAATATCAGAACTGGTGCAATATTGGAGCCTACAGAGTTCAAAGGGTTAAAACCGATCAATGGCTATAATCGCGAACCTTTAACGCTAGAGGTACCGAGCATTGGATGCGAATAATCTCTATGAAAAATACAGCAATAGATCATTTTCAGTTTCCTCGGAAGTTTATTATAGTATTCAAAACCTATTTCCATCGTTTCGAGTATTCAATGTTTCTAAGTAATTACCAATTGCGAAACAAAGAAATCGGAACCGGTTTCGACCGGTAGTTCTAGTGTTAAACACCTCTGAATGAAGTAACGTGACAGCTTCCTTTGTAATCACCGTTCGAAGGCTCCGCGAGGAAAGCCGCGTAGAACGAGATAGAATATTCCTCGAATAAATCTTGCTAATTGTATCTCCGACGAGATCTATTCGATCAATCGACGTTAATACACTGCAGTTTGAAAAAATCTCGTCCAATTTATTCTCCCGCAAACATTCTCGACGCGTTCGATCGACGGGACGCTCGTCCCGCGGCAACGAAACCGCCTTCGCAGTCGCGTGTTTGACCCGAGGCGACGTTTTTCTAATCTAATGGATGTAAATAGACCGCGGTGTCCGCGGGAATACCGCTTATGTCATCGCCGGTCACTGCAGACCATTAGACATAAATTATTCATGAGACTCCGCTGACGAACGCAGCCAATGGCCTCGCGAGTCGTCCAGGACGCGGCGGATCCGGGTGCGCCGCGAGTCCCGGCGATAATCGCTCGCGCTGCTACAGGAATAACAATGCCTCGCTTCGAGCCATCCGCAGAGAAAGAAGAAACGCCGAGAGCAAACTAGGCAGGAGACGGAGGAATGCTCGACTAACGCGATTAACGTAACCGCGCCGGTCTCGTCATCGTCGAGAATACACGGAAACGGCCGCGTCTCGGGCGAATTATTCTTGACACGTGCAGGTACAACTTGATCAATCGTTTATTCAGATACGGTACAATTTCAAAAGATGACGGGGTGGGAGACAGAAATAGAAAGAGAAACAAAGAGAGAGAGAGAGAGAGAGAGAGAGACAAACAGAAAGAGACAAAGATATAGAGAAAGAGAGAGAGTGAGAGAGAGCTACTGGCAAGAGGGTCGAGCGTCGATCGGATCGAAAGGGGTCAGGTACGAATGACGAAGGACAGTCGCTGCAGAATTACGAAAATATAGAGACAGGGGAAGACATTCTTTTTTCTAGTGGATCACAGATGAAAGTGTCGCGGTTCGATTGCGAGCACCGCGTCGGTAGCTGTCGTCCTTCGGTTGGATCTCGACGCGAGACGTCGAGGAAGGGGTTTATTTGATCTTGCCCGCGGAGACTTTGTACGAGCCCTTCCCGCTGGAGTCGATGCTGGCCGCGCTGTTGCTGTAGACACCCTTAGCGCCGGACACGGTGCCGCTCTTGTCTACGCCCTCGTCGAGGTCGCCCATGCGGTTGAAGAGACTGCAATGATCATTTGATTAATCTTCTTTGCGTATGAATATTCGATGTCTATCAACCCTTCTAGGACGAGCGTTTCTCAAGCTAAAATCTCTTTTACGGAGAGCCGTCGACGTTCGTCTTCAAAGGGGTGAAACATCATCTCGTTAATATGAAAAATAGTCAAAATTGAACTTACTCTACCCCGTGACCACCGTGGCCACCGTCGCCACCATAACCGCCGTACCCGCCAGGTCCGTAACCACCTGCGTTCGCGTTCGCGGTTGCGCTGGCGCTCGCGTGAGAATTGCCACCAGCACCAGCGAAGGCGTTTGCGTTGGCATTCGCTTGCGCATTCGCGCTGGCGCTAGCTTGAGCGTTAGCGCTAGCGGATGATCCTCCTCCGTATCTTCCGAGTCCTCCAAGTCCTCCGTAACCTCCCGC